TATATATATTCTTTATTTGGAAGTGACACTTTTGCAACAGTGGCACATGTACATAACGGTGCGTCCAAGAAAAAGATAAGAAAACAAACATGTTATATTACATAGATTAACAAAATGGGACATTTATCATAGACATATGGGATGAGTTGCAGTCTGTACATGTGAAATCCTACTACTGAATGTATTTTATGGAATATATATTATTAATACTAAACACTGGAAATTATTTTTAGATGGTGACTTATTGTTGGCCTGTGAATATTGACTCATAAACAACAGAGGGCACCAGTCCACTTAAACCAAATTCTTTTTTCTATATCAGAAATATGAAGCTAAGGGCTGTTTAGGGTCTGCAACAGATACATTGGATTCATCTGGAAGAATTGTGAGTTTGGATCCACATGGTAAGTAGTAATTAGCTTTGGATTTCTTATATATACTTTCACTTTTAAAACTGTCTAAATTTGGATAAATTTGACCACGAGTTACATAGCAAGTTGGATCTATATTTTAATACTGTATATTTGGGTTTTCTTGTAGACCACATCAGTAGAGAAGATTTGGAAGACGGTTTGGGAAAGTTTAGGGGCAATATTTTTCAAGTTCCACCCATGTAAGTATCTTATAGAGATTACTACCCAGCTAAATTATGGACCTACAGAACCCGTTCTATTTTTATATCTTACATTTTTAGGGCCCGAATTTTCACACTTCTAAAAATATTTACACTCTCCCAATTTATTCAATAAACATTTTTTAAGACAAACATCTAGAATATTTGTAGTGAAACATCCAGTGACAGATTCCTAGCCAGCTCGGGGCCCACTATATTTTTTATTACTTGTAATAAAAAAAAAATGGAGAAAAAAAGCAAATAATATTAAGTCTCAGAGTGCCACTTTCGAACATAGAGGTGCCATAATCACTAACCATGCAGTGGTGTCTCCAGAAGCTTTTCATTTATGGCATAGTATGGACCAATTTATGCTTTGAGACCACAATATTAGGGATGGCAATCAAAATAGTATTATTTGGATAGGCAAATTATTATTTTTTTTAAGTTGTTGTCCGACGACCTCTCAGAGGAGTTGGACAACAGGGGGGTCCAGTCCTGTCCAACGGGAAGGCTAATTCCCCCTGCCACCACTGCAACCATGATGGGGCCAAGGTGGACTAGGCCCTCCAACTGTGAAAATCTCTCCCTGGGCCTCTTCTATTTTGAATTCCTGGATCGACCACAGACATCTGTAAAACACTAAGAACAGAGTAGTTTGATCTGTGTCTCATTTGAATTTGATAACTTATTTGATACTTTTAATGGCCATTACAAAAGCATTCCAGATTTTTACTACATACTGTACATTAATATTTTTGGTATCACTCACAGATATTCAGCACTGAAGGTAAATGGTAAAAGAATGTCTGATCTTGCAGCAAGAGGGCAGCACATAGAGCAAAAGCCCGCCAGACCTGTTACAGTTCACTGCCTGCAGTGTACAGGCTTCGATTCACCACATTTCAGTCTGAGTAAGCTCTTGGAACTCTTGGCAATCTAATTCATATTTTCTTATTATTCTTTTCCTGCTGTGCCAAACCGCCCCCAAACAATTGTAACATACAAAATTGTTGATGGCTCAGAAAAAAAGCGTAGTAACTATCTAGGGAGTGCTACAGGCCTCTACGATGCGTGTCTTCCTTGCATTGATATTACATGGGAGGGATGGAAATTATTTTACATCGAGTACCTAACATGAGGGCGATGTAGCAAAGGATGTGTGTTAATTTTTGCTAACTCCTTTCCTGTGCAACATTTGTCCTGTTAATCTGGTATTAGCCATTGTGGACTATTTTATATATTTATATATACTTTTTTTGTGCTGCTTCCATTTTGTATTATTTAATTTTTAAAGTTTAGTTATTCATTTTTCTATGGTTGGTTTTTTGAATGAATATGTGCAATGATTTACTTAGTTCACTATTCATATTTTTTTCTGCAGGTAACGGCTTATCGTATATATTTGAATAGTAAATGCCCCACTTTCAATAACCCCCTCCCCTTCCACGAATAAACTCCCTCTCTAAAGCCTAATTTGGAATAAATCCCCAGGCGTACATTTTTTCTCACCTGGTTGGGATTATCAAATCTAAATTTTTTTTTTATGTTTTGTTTTCTTTGTCAGATCCCTCTTCTATTATGTTTTGATGTACAACATGTATATTTAAACATATGTAAATTATCAAATATAATTGAATATGCATTTTATTATACTGTATTATCTTTGTTGACAGGTATTCGTTGTGGTGGAGGATTTTATGTGAGAAGCCTGATACATGATCTTGGAGAATGTAGGTTATATCATGTGCATGAATAATCAATGTTAATACTGTATGAACTCTTGCTTAAAAAAAATAGAGTGTGACCTTCAGTGGCAACAATAGATTGCTTCCTATAAAATAATACTAATTTATGTCCTTGGTTACAAATTTACAGGAAAATTGTGTAATAAGAAGGGAAAAAAAATTTTCATTTCCAACATAAAAAAAATTGCTACAGTATATATCCTATATATATATTATTTCTATTATTTATATATATTATTTAACAGTGTTAACTGCTATCTTGATTTATATTATATATATATATGTATGTATGTGTATGTATGTATGTATGTGTATGTATGTATGTATATGTATGTATGTATGTGTATGTATGTATATGTATGTATGTATGTGTATGTATGTATGTATGTGTATGTATGTATGTATGTGTATGTATGTAGACAAACTTAGTCAGTTCAAAAATTACAGTGACTACTCACTATGTATTTGTACCTGATGAGTGTGGGCAGCTTTAAACAGCTGTCCATATGAAAGAAATTTGTAGTAATATATACATATTGAATTGTTCGTTTAATTTTGCTTCCAACCGGTTGANTTACACAATATTATTCTTGATTTATCAGACCTAGGTACCAGCGCCCATATGACCTACCTACTACGTACCAATCAAGGACCATTTAGCCTTACCCATCATGCATTGCAACCAGAGAAACTGACTGTGAAGGTCATAGAAGAGACGATATTGCACAACACTCCACCTTGTGTAAGCTGATGTATATTATCATCATCATTTGATCAATAATGTTTACAAATGATATGTTCAATGACACTTAAACAGAAACCATTATATACCGCATTCATAGATAGGTATCTGATTGGTTAAGAAACGGGCAATGGCAAGTTCTATCACCCTAAAAGTACTTTTTTGCTCTGTCGCGGATGTGCAATTTCTAGGCCATGTTGCTATGTAATTTATGACATGCACGAATGGTAAAGAAGACATGACCTCTACGACGCTGAAAGAGATTGGCCCTTTGATCGCCTAGGCCTGGGAAGTAAGCCTAGGCCTACTTGGTGCGTACTATTTTCATTACTTTTTAGATCTCGTAGAATCTATGTATGAGATATATAAAAAAATATTGACTGCTCATGTGGCGAATAGGGAAATCTATTGCCTGGCCCTCGGGAAGATAGGCTACGGTCTCCACATCACGTCAGGGCAATATATTTCACCATTCCCCTCATGAGCAGTCAATATTTGTATACTGCTGTCTTTTAGTACATGAAAAGACAGCAGGCATCAGAAATTGTTCAGAAAAGCTACTTCTAGGAGTCTTCTTAAGACATGTAACTATTTTATATTTACTGTGTGTGGTGATACAAATGGTCAGCTGATTTAAAGGAGTCTGTTAACCATGTTAGCTAACCATAAATTTCAGAGTACAATGCTGAAATTGATGTATATGAAGCCCTCAGAACCCATACAATATTGAAGCTGCATTCTAACTGGCTCTGATTCTTGACCTCGCTGGGATTATAAGTGACCCCATACCCCAGATGGTCCATATTTTAACAGGAATAAAAAAAATGCCAGTAGGAAAAAATGCTAGTAGGAATGAACAATAATCAATTCAATGTTGATTTTTTTATATTTTCATTTTTTAATAATTTAACTGTTCTTTTAACTTGCTATTTTTTTGTATGGATTGTACCTTGTGTAGTTTTGATTTCATTGTATTTCATATCAGACTTGTTGAACGGACTGTCAAATACTATGACATGTGGCGCCATTGTAAAGGCATACTGTAGTTTTCCAATAAACATTGTATGTTATTCTATAACAAACAATGTTTACGGCCTTTTCTCATACATGACAGCCTCTTCATGTGATCCTAAATTACCCTGTAGCATTGTAAGTACTTTATAAGAGACAACAATCTTCTACTTAAACAGTATGTCCACAAGAAAAAAAAAACAATGATGACAATATGAACCCGGATGGCAATAACATGTATTCAGGTTAAAACATGCTTAGTGTTCAAACGTGCCTGTATCAAAAGAAAAAAAAATTTATTGAAATATTGTTTAATTTTTTAGGCCATGGTGCATTTTGTGTACAAATAACAAATTCATATTTGCTATTTGTTACCAAACTGATATACCATCTGTGGTTAGATAAGAAAAAAATCTTAAAAAATTATATTTCTTTTCAAAGTATCAATAAACAACTTTACAGATTCAGTTCAGTTCGGTTTCAACTAAATTTTGACCTCGCATACTACCTGTATCCACTTTATTCTATCTATCAGCTTTTTTGGTCTCTCCTTGGCTATGGCAGTTGGTCTTTTTTTCCATTATATTTTTTCAATGATTTTAATGTAATATTTTAAAATCATTTTATCTATTATTTATATAAAAATGTTATTTAGTTTTATTTTGCTTTTTGAGCAGTTGAATATCATTACTGTTGTTTGACGATGAGAATAGCCACAAAGCCACAATTCATTTTGCACATGGAGCAATCCATAGCCTTTTATTTTCTTTTAGCTAAACTTCTTATAATATCTGAATGAATTTTTCATGAATGTCTTTTCTAATCTGTGTATTTGTCTACCGTAAAATGTTTTCAATTGGTGAATAAAATTATATATGATATGCAATATTCTATACTGTTAGAATCTGTGATTATCATCATATTAGTTTACACGTATACAGTAGTTGAGGTATACTCACAAATATAACACATGCATCACTAACAGAATTGTAGCAAAGTGAGGGAAAATTTCACTGCTAAAGGCTTATTTACATAAGCGTTGCATTTACACAGCATGACAACTGTTGTCACAGAGTTACTATCCACAGTTTGTTCTGCAGTCTGCATACTCAACAATAAATGACCTAAGTCACTTGTCAGAATTTTTTGAGTTTTTTGACACAGAAATTTATTAAATGCTGAGAAACGCACTGTCGCCAGTGGCGTAACGAACATACCTAGGGCCACTGGCTAAGATTTTTTAAGGCCCTACTTCCCTGGGGCTGTTTCCAAGTAGAGAACTCAGTGGGACATGGGGGGAAAACCCCTGCTTCAGCATTTTGATGTTTAAAGGGCATATTTTGATGTTTTTTACTCTGCTCCTTAAAAGGCCCTGTTCGGCAGACTCTGGGTTGAAAGTAAAGCTGTCTTAGCATTGGATTAATTTAATATTATTTAATTTCAAATCTCATTCAAAAACAGGTAGCCCACCACTTACAGAATGGATGTAGAATAAAAATGTATATGCGACTAAATTTACAGTAAGAAGGTATTAAAGCTCACCTTGGGTTCATTTTGAATAAAAATGAAGAGTTACCTCACTTTGGCTAAATAATGGAACTTTTCGCTAAACCCTGCCCCTTTCTGAAGTCCTACAATAAGATAGTGTAAACACACAGTATCCTTGTATGTTTGTATAGCCTCGATTCCAGGCCTTAAATTTGTTAATTGTGCTTAGTGCGCGTCATACCAAATTCAATTGGCGTCCAATACTCTTTTCTTTCAGGTTATTCCTTCTCTAAATTAACTTGCTCATTAGTGGCGCTGGGATTCACATACAAAAGACCTATATCCTCAATCAAATGGCTATTAAATGCAACTACAACATTCACATTTTTACTGTACATACTTTTGGATGTAAACAATCCAAGCTTTTGGATGTTCAGTAAGAAGTGAGTCACTCAAAAATACCTTAAATTGCTTGGAAGGAAGACAATTATGGAGACGTTAAAGAACATGAAGACATATAAAATAATATAACATAGGCCAGTATTTATTAAGATTTCACTTAGAAAAGTATGTGCAATTATAAACCTAGCACAGCCACATTCATAAATTCTAATTACTACTTGTTCAATATTACTGAATTGTTTTTGTTGCAAATCATATAAAATAATTAAACAAAATGTATTTAAAATCTAAATACTGTATAAAGATATATATACATGGATCGGACAGCTTAAGAAAGACACTACGTTCGGTGGTGGTTTATGAATATTTTAGATTGCGGTACATTACACCAACTCACCTGTTCCTCAATTATATATATCATACACACAATATATATATATATATATATATATATATATATATATATACATATACATATACACATAGACATATACATATACACATATACATATATATATTCATATATATATATTTATACATGTAGATCTGTCTCTTATACACATCTAGATGTGTATAAGAGACAGTATATATATCACATGTATTATGTAAGAATTAAATCACAGTTGAATACTGAATACTGAAGAATAGTTTATTTATAATTTATTATTATATTAACTATTTAAACTATTGTACAATACTGTATAATACTAAATTTTCTGCTTGCATATTTACAAAATGTATTTACAATATCAAATAAACTAAATTTTTACAACATGCTGTACAACTGTTCAGTAGTTATTATGTGAGTTTCCTGTACAACATTAATTTTTGTCAGGAGACAATATATTTCCTCTGTATCCTATCACATATTTATAATTTGATGAACTATTATTTATCCACTTGGAAAAAATTGTTTTCTTTATAAATGAAATATATTCCCTAGAAATAATTTCCACAATATTTTTTATATGAATAATTCTCTTCCTACAGGAATTGTTTCTTCTCTAAATTGATACCCCATGGGTTGAACAGTGTCAATGCACTTCATTCCCTTGTTCCCTGTCAATAATAATAAGACTCCTTGTCTATTCAGTTTTTTTTATCCTAGAATATATACAGAGGCATGAGTAACTGTATTAATTAACATATTGAAACCATGGCCTGGCATAGGTCTTGTTACATTCCCTTAGGAATTCATACTCATACCCAGAGGAATTAATCATTCTAGGAATCACCCTTTCCTTTTAGGAATAATTTTTCTTTCGTAGTAATAATTGTTTTTGCATTTGTTCTTCTCTATAACTTGAGACAAATAAATCTCTTAAGTATTTTGAGAAATAAATCATAATTAATTACAATGGCATGATCAACGCATACAGTACAATTATTAACCAAAGACAATGTTTAACTATAAAAACGACTGTGACAATTAAATTTGTTAAAGATTACATTTGTTGACAACACAAATGTGGGTCATTTTCACAGAGAGTGTGATAGATATATTGAAGTACTTCATCTACAATATTGAATTTCTTCTATACATGATTAAAATTACAATAAAAAATTTATTTTTTTAATACAATATGACAAGAATAATTACATATGCTTGTTAACATTAACGATGATATTTAAAAATATATGAAAACAATAATATTCAGCTTGTTATAGCACTTTGATATATATAAGATTAAGTATATAGTATATAAGAATTTTACTTTAAATTTTTGTTTGCAAATAATATTTCTACCATGTTTTAATTTGACTGTACAAGGCTGGTCAAAATATAAAAAATTCTCCTTTTAATATTAAGCTTTTGTCCACACCATGGAATTTTATGTGACCAAATTGTGTGATGTGTCCATACATAGGCATGATGATGTCATAGTACACCCAAATATGGGCATCACATTTTTTTGTCACATACCATTTGAAAGTATGGAAAGATCTTAAAACTTACACTGGTGAAGGAAGTGGCGGCAATTCTTTCGAACTACTTGGATCTTGCGGAGTTCTCGGTAAAATATTAATTGCATGACCGAGCATTAACGTCTGTTTTTGAGGCCATTTTTGATTCGGACTCGGCAACAGCATTACAACCGTATTGTCCTGAAAGAGTTCTAAACTTGCGGATTCGTAGCGACTGAAATCCCGAAGATAAAATATATAACCAAGTGTTACGTACACCACAAATTCAGGTATTTCGAATAGCATCGTTCTCACCCATGTAAACTGTGAAAGAAATGAAGCCACTGTTATAATTACTGCATAGGTTATTGTGTAGACCGCTATCAACTGTCGTAAACGGCTGTAGATGCGGAGTTTCTTCAGCAATGGCGCTTCAGGGCTGTTCCCTTCAAAATATATCTCCTTAACCGAGACCAGATGCCGTGTGATTGTTATCTGGCGTTGGAGAAGTTCAATGCTTTCTGAAGACCATTTTAATGCACGATAGATTGTGAAGACAATACAGGAAATAGCAAATGCCTAGGAAATGAGAGAAAACCATAATAAAATGATAAAAACCTTGCAATGTGCCATTTTATATATCTTACAATAATAGTATAGTAATACATTGTCAGTCATGAAAAAAAAGTAAAAATCATAAAAAACGATAATACAGTAATGTAAATTATATATTGATACCTCTGGTAGTTAATAGCGATGTGCAAGGTACAGTACAGGGGCGGATCCCGAATTTTTAGAAATGGAGGGCAAAACTGTTCAGAATAGATAAGTGTGGGAGTGAGGGGGAAGTATCTTTTCCATAGAGGCATTAGTCAGTAAGATCATTATCATAAGGAGGATCTTTCTCACAATTATTTCTTTATTTCCACCCTGTGATTGAAACATCTTAGCCATCAAGCTACAGCAACACTCCTGCATAAATGTATTAAAGACACAATATAATCCTCAATTCTAATTTAAACCTCTTTATTACTCAAACCCAATTGAGTAGGTATGCATAATAATATATATGGATGTGTTCAGCAATAAAGATTTTTTTTATGTCATGTGTCGGATATATATTCACGTTTTTATATGCTGTAGAGGCCCCTATGGGAGAAGAGAAATACGGTAACGTATACCTAAGAGGCTACACAGTAAAAACGAATATAAAATATATAAAAATATTACTTACCAAAAAATAAGTATTAGCAAATATAACGCATAACTGCGATGTGATATAGAAGAAGAAAATAACTGAAAAGAAATAAGAAAGACATTAATGATTTCATCAATATTGCAATATAATTAACATTTCTGAATATTCCATTTAAATTCTGGGAAAAAATCTGCATTCTCTCAGCATAAAATAATCATAAAATCTAATTTTCCAGCACCAGCTTACTTTAACCATGACTGTATTATAGAGAGGATGTCTCAAAATTTGTCATATTTTGTTTGACTTGCATTTAAGGATACACTCTCTATCATAATAAATTTCAATAGAATAAATTATTTTAAAGCCCCCCCCCCAAAAAAAAATGCATATGCATTACTCTATTTATTATAAACAATGGAAAAATATTGGCATAAATAGTTTTACGCAAAAGAATTTAAAAAATGAGAAATACAGACTATTTCTCATAGGAGATTACCATTTTCTCGACGAATTCTTCGTTACTAAGCAAATTCAGAGGTTGTAGATCGCATCTGCTGGAATGCTCTCGCTTTTATGTATACTTTATACGGTCAATAAAGTGGGCCCTCCCTAATGACATTGGTTTTTGTACTTCGCGCATCTCACACAATGCGATCGATCGAGTAGGCCTGAGATATGTTTGTTTAATTGTCAAAATCTCAGTCAGAATCATTTTTTTAACAGATTTTAAATAATTCCTGAAATATTATATTTCACAAGTGTCAATTCTAGCAATGGAAAATATCATGTCGGCCGTTTTTATGATACAGAACCTAAATCGAGGTAAGGCTAGGCCTAGCCTAGCAGTGCTAATGTTTTCGGTGCCTACTATGTTTCTTTGCAGACCTATTGCAAAATCAAACATGAAAAATCCATCTGCATTTATTTTTTGTGTGGAACACAAAAAGAAAATCAAATTTCAATCTTACATTTTTTTCATGTTTAGGAATGTCTAAATTCAGGTAAGCATTTTCACATATATAAAAAAAAATCAAATTTTTTTTAAACAACTGAAATCTAGCTGGGAATGGGGCTTTAAAAATTCAGTACTAGAATTTTTCTGGCCTGTATATTTAGGTTCTCATTTTTCAATTAAAAATTAAAACAAGAAAAATATTTTTTATTGCAAATTATTAGAGATGGCTAAATAATACTATTTCTTTATCGTCTAGTAAAACTAGGAATTTGGTATTAAAAATTCCGTAAATAAGTGACAAGAAAATTGTTCTGATCTGTCTTATTCGAAGTTGATACACAATTTTATAACTTTAAATGAACGATGATTTATTATTTTTTTGTATAATAAAGTTTTTGCAGGTTTTACTTTAGTGTATCTTTTAAAGAAATTCATGCCAATTTGTAATACATTCTGTCATTTATGGTTGATAACGTCACATGGGATAAAAATAATGGTTTCATTCAATAAAAATGAGTACTTTGCACAACCTGATATTATTATTATTTTTTTTAATTCACTAATTCACCATCCAGTTTTAGTCAAACTGCACTGCTGTGAGGTATTACTAAAAGTAGGTTGCTTCCCCGCAACCTTTGACATTTTTTCCTCTTGAGCACAGACAACCTGGTAGCAAACAGCTACACAGGTCTGAACAAATAAAATGTTTTATACAATAGATTTATGAAAATGAATCACAAATATTAAAGTAGAATCTTAGGATTAATGGAACGGAGACATAAGGCTGGAGATCATACTCTTTAGAAAAACATGTTTTGGATTTTAAATTTTAGATGATTTCTTCATCCCTAGCAACTAAACTGCACTCTTCATCATCATTTTTTTATTTTGTATACATTATGAGAATGAGAAATCTCTTTTCTTTTACGGTATTGAGTTTAAAAGCAGACTTAATAAAATAATGGTTATAAAACGAATGAATCGCCTTTGTATTGGATATAACATTACCAAAGTTAGAAGATGGAATGTTATTGATAACGAGGCATAGCCAAGTTTTATGTCATCATGCAAGCACTGAAAAAAACAAATGTTGATAAACAGTCATATATTTAGTTGACTACAGTACATACTTCAACTTGTTTACTGTATTTGCATAAATACTAAAAATGAAACCCTACATCAACCGTAAACCTACTCTGTCAATTACATGAGTTTAAATATCAAATTGATTAACTTTTTGGTCTTCATTTTGTGTTTGATTTGAATTTTCTTTTCGATGAAACGTCTTTGTTCAAAAACAGTACGCAATTTTGCTTTTGTGCAAAGGGAAATTCCAACCAAAGTTTTAATATTATACTATGCATTTGCTAAATTGATCTTATCTTTGTTTTTTTCCCCTCTCCATTGCATACCTGTACTACCGCCATTATGCTGATTATGGTCGTTTTCAGTGGTACCTTGTATCTAAGGGTGAGCCTTGTAATGTGCCACTGAGCAATATACTGAATTAAAAAAAAAAACAAGAAAAAAAACCCCTACTTCGTAGAATGATAGGCTAACCAGTGTGTATAATACGCATAGGTTTTTACCAAACAATATACTGTACAGTATATTTTTAGCAATAAATACCATACTCACATTTTTAAGAAAAAAGAATTTAATTAAAAATTGCTATCAAGGCACTACTGTTGAATTGGCCTTCTGCAGAACATAGAAATTTGAAGGAGCAAGTTGTAAATACTAATTTTCAAATTTTTAACAAGGTTTTACAATATTTCCCATAAACTTCAAATTCTTTGTCATATTCATATTATGTATATTGTGTAGCAAAAGTGCATTCATACAGTATTCCACAAAAATCATTTTATTGCCTTTAATCTTCTGTAATTGTTACTACTTCAAAATTTGTAGTTTTTAAACTCAAAATTTTAAGAGGTATTTTATAGCAAACAGAGGCTATCAGTATTATTAGTAGTAGTGTTAATACTATTATTATTAGTATTTTCATTACTAGTATTATTGTTAGTGGTGGTTATTAGTGGTGGGAGTATCTGTTTGTCATTTGTGTTCCCACCAGTAGATAGTGAATTTTGTATTTGCTGTTGGACGGGATAATAAATAAATGAAATAAATATAAATAATATGCATCAAGGGGACGGGGAACTTCCCCTGTCGGACAGGCCTGGGCCCTGTTTTCCGACAACCAAAAATAATAATTGACCTATCCAAATAATGTTATTATGATTGCCAATCTCTAATATTGTGGTCCAAAAGATTTTGGGTCAATTAGACATAAAAACTCTCCCGGTGAATGCTACCCCAGGATTTTTATTTCGGGACCCTGACCGAGTCTCTATTCAGACAATTGCATCCGACCGGACATGTCGGACCCCATGTTAATAATAATAATAGTGTAGTTTTATACAGCGCACAAATCCATCTAATGTAAGATGCTCAGGGTGCTTGAAATGTGGACTAGGAACTCGATCAATGACTTTCTTTGCCCCTAAGGGTCCCTTCGTGTCTGTGCTACCCAGTACCAGCAACTCTCGCCGTCCACCATGTTGGAAAATTTCTGGAGCCAGCACTGCCCTCTGGCCCACCATTGCCTGTCTATTCCGATTTCCTGGATCTACCAATGAAATGTATAAGTGCACTCTGGCGATGAGGGATTTTGAACCCCCTTTTGGAAGACCAATAACTAGTACTACATGCTTCCACAGAAATTCCTTTTCTTTAATATACCGTTCACAAAATAGAATTCTATCCAACCAACAACAAAATTCCAATAATAGCAATTGATGGACTTGAGCATATTGTGGGGACCTTTATGCACTTGACAAGCAAGACAAATGCAGCAGATGGAGTTACTATACTTACTTGGAATTAGTGCGGAACGGCAATGTTTAATGTATGGTCTCATGACACACCAGCCTTCAGCAGCCATCATTATAGTAATAAACAGCAGGAGGTCTTCTATACTTGTAATCATGTAAAGAGAAACTTCTATTGTGTCCTGCTGCAGTCCTATGATTAAAAAAAATTCATTTTTAAAAAATATCATGTAAATTTCTATCTTACACTGTTATTTAAGGTTGCCACATTTTTAAGGCTGACAAAGATATCACGAAGCAAAAAAAAAAATCATAACTCTGAAAGGTATTTATTAAAAAAAATATATCTAGCAGGCCTGCGTATACCCCACCCCCCACTTGCATTCGAGCCTGCTAAATATAAAAACAGAGTATTAAAGTATTACATTTTCATCTATCAATCTACACCGTTAGGTCAGTATTTACTATTTGGGCATTAAATGTCCTACAAAATGCGATCCAACCAATCCTTCCCCCTCACCCAAGTTTGTCCCCGGGGCTCATGTTTAAATATTTCTATACGGTGAGGTGCCACATTTACGGGATATATTTTCAAGGACTTGGTAGCACAAGTGTGGGAAATAACCGGGGTGAAATTGTTAAAGTGTCACAATTTCCCACACAATTTTTGCGGCGATTTTAGCTACTGTGGACTACTGTAAGTGCTATGCTATAGCAGAGATCGCGAAGGGACAGAAAACTGTTCATCGGGAACCAGTATAAATATTGGCATGATTGAGTGGCCCTTTTCCTGCCGTCTTTTTACTAGAGCACAGTGCGATTTCGTGTAAATGGTAGTCTATAATCATTTTCAGTAAAATAGGTAGCACAAGTGTCTCAACCTGAAGTAGCTGCTCCATCCACCCCCCACCCCCAAACTAATTTCTAATTTGCCATGCATGGTAATATGCATAGCCAGCTGACACCAGGGAGACAATTGATAAGTAAACACATGCGAACATCATTAATTTGCCAGAAATGGATTAGTTTCCGAATAATTTTTCAAACTAGGGAACTTTCCAGTGAAAGAAAGAAGGGATGTCAAAGAAAAACTAAAGGGGCAGGACAAAGAGGAAAAAATGAGGAAAGACATAATGTGTGCCATGTCAATGTCAATGTTTTTTCTATGCTAGTTTTGCTATAAAAACATTTGTCTTATCATTTTTCTACATTATCATTTCATCAGTTACAATAATATACGAATCTGACAGTGATTAATTATGTTTATCTAACATTCATCTATTGTACAGTTTTAAAATAGAATATTTTATTTTAAATGAAATTAGAAGGAATGATATTATTTTAGACTCATTAAGAAGAGCAGTCTTCGAACTAAAAATAATGACAGATGAAAGCCAAATGAGAAATACATTATTAAACTCCCAAGTAGAATGGTTTAATGCTTGTACACTATATGGGAATGACTTATTATTATTTTGCCTTTACATTTTTTTTCCATCAGTGCAATCAATATCTGAGTCAGAGGAACAGAATTAATAATGTTTTCGTGCATACTTTACTTAAATCAACAGTCTTTAAAACGGAATCTTTGTAAAACAGTCATTGGATATCATCACAGCGTAGTCATGTTCAAAATATGAACACTATATGTCATTGTTGACACCAGCGGTGGCTCCAGAAATTTGCCAACTAGGGATGCGATAGTTTGACGGAGGGGTCGAAAACCAGAAGGCTGACTAGAGCCTTGATCGGGGGTCCCGGAATAAAAAGAAATTCCTGGTTCACTGGGTGAGTTTTTATGGCTTATTTATATGGTTTAAATTGTGCTTTTAGACCACAATATTAGGGATTGACAATCAAAATAATATATTTGGATAGATTTGGATGAAAATTTTTGATCTGACGACGTCGTTGTGGCATCAGACAACAAGGGGGTCCAGGCCTGTCCTACGGGGTGGAAAATGCTCCATTGCCTCACTGCTGGCACCACCACTAAATAACACAAGAAAAAACTATGAAGAATATAAAAAGAAACCACCACTATTTGGTTATTGTTAACATTCTATAAGCAATTTTAAAAGCAACAGAAAAGTGTAGGCCTATATATAGCACAGGTAGGCAAAATGTATTACTGTATTAGTATATTAAACCACATATCCTAGTATAGTTTTCTGTCACTGGTATAACATACAATATCAATCAAACAGATGACTGCAAATGGTTGTTTCGTTTGAATGACAATTTCTAGACAGCGTGAAAAACACTGCAATAAATAGGTTCAATTTTTAAATAGGGATATAAATCTCACTTTAGAAAAATTATGGCAATATAACTAGCCCCAACAGTTGTCATGGCTATATAAAAAAATACAAAAGGAAACAAAAGTTAAGTACTATCAGTAATGTCCAAGGGCATTAATATGTATAGTAGCTAAGTACTGGGAACAAAAGCCTGCATACAAATTAAATAATAGGATTTATTTAAATTAAGGTAATAGCCTGTTACAGGAAATCAATTCTAGAGCACAGATTAAAATTGACAAAAAAACTGGGTCCCTAGTGAAATCAAAATCTAGAAATCTAAAGTATAAGACACTACCAATTATAAAATCATAAGAATGAACAAAATTATTTTCCTGACAATGAACTACTGTACATTATCCTAAAAGTCATACCCCGTCCCATCTCAATTTTGACACAATTATCTGGTCAAAAAAAACCCTGAATCTTTGTAGGACTTTATAAGCAGTGGACTAACTGCATCGTACAGCGGTTGTACATCCGTCAGTCGTTGAACCCAACTCCGCTCCATGTGAGCCATAGACGACGTGACGCTGTCTGCTGATTGTTGGTGGCAATCTGAATGGATCATCATTAAATACGATCTATTGCGCGCATGTTGTGACGTTGCATTCGCCATCAAATCATGTCAGCTGATAACCGTGGGCACGCAGTGAGTGCCAAGCTTAATATGCAAATGAAGATACTTCTGTAGCCTACTTAATGGATGTAGAAGCCCATAAAGCCCTGTTTAGACTATCAAATTCTATTTGACATGCCTAAATATGCACATGACATTGATGACATCACATTATGACCATATATATGCACATGACAAATTTATGACATCACATTATGACTATATATATGCACATGACATTGATGACATCACATTATGACCATATATATGCACATGACATTGATGACATCACATTATGACTATATATATGCACATCCTGACTGTATTGAACAAAACAAAGACAGTAACTCTGGAAAGAGACAGAGACGTTTTGAGATTCAACGTTTCGATCTATTTGATCATTTTCAAGAATACTGGTGAGAAATTCTCACCCATCCATATATGTTTACAATATTTACAGAATTATAAAACAAATAAAAACCGACCAATCAGATTAAAATCAAACTAGCCAATTAAAAACAAGGTAATTATATTAAGTACTGTATATCACTTTACTGTAAATAAACAATGAATAATCAACAATTATTCAACAATAGTATAGAATGGGAATGCGGGCTGAATGAAAGCCTCATGACATGAAATAAACAATAAGATAATTCAGTGAAATAAAATATACAAAACAGTAGAGAATGCTTTCAAGAAAAGTACATGTAAAGTAACAATTCAGAATTAAGTAAATAATGAAAGCTCCTTGGATGCTTTTGACTGTATTGTATGTGCAAAAATAGTTTTTTGTCGAAGGAAATTGTATAATATGGACATACTTTAGAATAATGTATGTATTATAATGTATATGTTTCTGTTTATCAATCAAACTGTAACATTGTCATTTGACCAATAGCCAAGAAATTATACAAATTTAGTCAGTGTTCCACAGGAAAGAATTATTAGATCACATAATGTAAATTCTAAACACTGATTCTTAAGACAATATACTGAGCTTTCCATCTAGCTAACAACAGTGTTTCTAACATATTAATTTCAAATAAAGCAAACAGACTGTTTGTCATATATTTTACCGTTTCCTTCCGTTCTTAAGGTGCTGCTTGTTTTACGACAAGACCGAGCCAGCAATGAAACGAACACATTGATCCCGAGAGCATTTTCTGAAGCATTACTCCGGTTTCAATTTCAATTTCTCATAGAATTTTATTGACTGAGGCTACAGGATGTCCTACAATAACTTCTTTACAGTATATCAAGCATGGTTGTGTAAGAATCTTTTAGCTGTCAACATGTGCTAAATTTGGAAACCTGTAAAGCAGGAAGGTACTGTACGTATCTTAATCCAAGGGTTCCGAAGTCGGCCCCATGATCGCCGTGTGACTGATCATCCATTGTTTTCATAAAGTCTAATATTCAGAAGTTAATTCTTCTCTGTCATGGCACAAACACAAGTTGCTTGGACTGTATGCACACATTTTTATGAATATAAATTACACATGCAAAGGTGTGGGAATTGTGATCAATCGAAGTTGAAATTAAAAATCTATGGATTTATTTAAAGATGTTGAGCCAAAAATTTGCAATATTGCTAATACTTTCCAATGCAACTTATTGGCTTTAAGTTGAACACTAGAATGAGGAAAAATTGTCTGTAACAAGTTCACCAAAGCATAACAAAACATTTCATAGATTCTATTGCATAAATCGAATTGGCTGTAAATCAATTTCACAATTTTGGCAGAAAGTATGTGAATCAAAAATTTAGTTTTGGAATTTTGGCTAGCTGCATTTTTTTTCGGGTTTTTTTTTTTTTAATTTAATTTTTTTTGTTTATATCTTCTATACTTTTCCCTGATACTGCATAGGGATTTTCTACCCTCCACTTTTGTCCCTTTCTGTGCTTAAATCTTCTTCACACTTGGTCCAGCAAAGCCCAAAGCAGAGATGTGCCTAGCAAAACAGGATATAATTCTACATTTTTTATATAATAAACTGACTGGTATTTTTGTGAATGTAATTCTAAGTGGATATTGGCCCTTGAAACACAAAAAAATCGAATTGAAGTATTTGTTAACATAATTTATTGTTTCTTTAAAGTTTCAAACTATTTAATACAGTTAGGTTCAGTGCAACTATAACATGAAATTCATAACAATCTTTCACATTTATGCAAGTAGATTGCTGCAACAGTACAAATATAGACCAAAAGTCCACAAGTTAGAACTCTCCATTTTAACTTCAGCAATGTCAATGCAGCTCTAGAGCAAATTTTTCTTAATATAACTTTTTTAACTTCATATTTTCAATTAAAAAAGTCTGTTTTTTACATTCTTTACCAGACAAATCTTTTTTTTTTAAATGGCAGTGCTGGAAAATAATACCCTAAAGGCCAAATTAAAAAAAATACTTGTTTCTTGATCCTCGAGCATCCATTTTCTCTGTGTCATTTTTTATTTTTTTATTATTTTCCTTATTTATGAAATGTACAAAAATATAGCTAACTCGCATCAGAAAAAAATCCTCTCTCGATTGATCAAGGATACATGGTATGAATCATGTCTAGTGGTTCTTATTTGCTTTCAATGTGTTTACTTGGTAAAAGCGAGGAGTTAAAAAAAAAAAGAGAAAAAATTACCCTAATTCTCCTTTTTCCAAAATATCAGGACAAGAAACTACTTTTTTTTTTACTTGGCATAATATTTTTATATAAGCCTTTCAATGTTTAAATCAATTTTTCTTCCAAATTTCACGACAGACATTCTAATTATTGAGAGATGGTGTAAATACAACCTGCAGGCTATTATTGTGAAGCTAACACATGGATCAAAACATGACACTGACAGCTCTAACAGGACATGACCTACAGATGCACTGACAGAAACATATAAACACAAAAGACAGACACGCACATTGACATAAGCTTTATTAAAAGCAATTAACGAGAACTGAAAAATCACAGGTTCAACATATTGGAACAGAATCAGTACCTATAATAGTATATAACTTTATTCCTTAGGTAAAATTGGAAAAAAACTTATTTTTGACGATTACTCTTACCTGTGCTGTCCATATATCGCCAGTAAATCATTTGGAAAACTAGAGTTCCAAGCTTAAATGTTGGAGCGACAAACAAGAACTTATGAAGACCATTGGAGTACTACAAAAAAAAAAATAGAGAAGCAACCATGACGATGTAAATGGTGACAAGGATTGGTAATAATAATGACAATGACAGTAATGATTATGACAGCAAATTTGATGACAAAATGAGGATGAAGAAGATAACAGTGATGATGACGATATTTTTAATAATAGAACTAAAAAGGAAGTCAAAATATGGCGACAATAATAGCAAAGATGATGAAAATTATGGCAAAGGTGATGACAGTGGTTACAGTATGATGTGACAATTGTCTACTGTATGCTCACTGGCCCCTACAGGAACTGGGAAATCATATGCCACTTTATTCCCAAAGAATTAAAAATAAAAGGGCAAACATAATTTTTTATGAGAGAATCCTAACAGGAGCTAAGCTCCTCTATCCTACTCTAAGCTCCTTTACCCTATCCTCACACCCTACCCCCTCCTGTACTGGGTGTAACTTGCTGTTAGTACCACCATCATAGTTTCCCCATTGGTCATAAATTGATTATTGGAGTCATTACAACGTCTCTACAAGACATATCGTAAATAGAAATTTAATAGAAGCCCCATGGGCTTAATCTCGAGAAGAAGCTCATCTCGGATTGAAGCCTCCTCTATAGTTTGAAAAAGTAGCCTAAAAGAAGAAAGAAGCCCATCTCAAATAAAACCTATGGGTTTCTTTTTAAGGTAGCATGGGCTTTAATTCTGTACATGGATTTCAAACAAAGAAATAAATTAAAAACCATGCTTGGTTCATACAATATTTTAGGTGATTTAATGCTGGTTAATACACTCCATGATACAGACTCAATGTTACAGTTGCCCTATCCATTGTTTTATAGTAGTAATTCCCAAAATTTACAGCATTCATTTTGAAAAGAAGCCCCCCCCCCCACTCCATTTACTTTAAAAAAGTACAGTAGCTGGAAAAAGAAGCCCATCTAGAAAGGAAGACCATCTCGAAAAAAATCCCATCCAAAGGTTGCAAAGGTCGCAAAAAAAAAAAAAGAAGCCCAGGGCCTCTATTCGAGGTTACGGTATGATTATAAGACGCATGTACAGAATTTTTTCCTGAATTTTAGTTTACAACTTTGAATTACAACATTTAGCATAATTTTAAAGGTAGCTATTAAAGTGTCAATAAACTGAACTATGATACATTTTAACAGTTGTAGTATAAATCTATTCAGTGCTTTAATCCCATCGATCCCTAAAGTTAAATCAATTACAGACATAGATGTGGATAGGATCACCAGGTTTTATCACCACATTGTCATTTTCTATTTAAACTGACTAAAGCTCTGGTCATGAGTGTTGGAAAAGATCATCATTTTCTTGGTCTAGCTTTCGCAAGATCAGTGAACATTGACTCAAACATTTGAGTCAAGGGTTTAGACAGGCATGAAGCCATGTCGTTCGATGCCCCTTGGTTCAGACTCTCCTGCCAGACATCACTGTGCAAGGCAAGCAAGCTTGTCCACGGCAGGTTCCTGACCACAATCACTACCAAAGATTCTTGAGATTTAAAAAAAAATAAAAATTAATGAAATAGAGTTCATTTAATAAATGTGCTACTGAAGGCTTCGACCAGTGCAACAAATGTGTATCACATAAGCGTGCACTGTATTGAAGTAGGCACAAAATAAAAAGAGGATATCGAAGGAACATATCAGTATACAGGCAATTCTTAACTCTTGACAGGAAACTTGAGCGATCAAAAAAAATTGCCAGGCGATGATATGTTGAAATCTTTGTAAAAAGCATATCTTTGACCAAATTGTCAAGACTAATGAAGTTATTAAACCGTAACAAATATTAATTACTTCTCCATTGTCCTGTCTAGAAAATTACTAGTAAAGTGGTTGGAATTCCGGACTAGGCTATAAAATTAATCCTAAAAATAGTGCATAAGTGGTATCAAAGGAAAAAACACTGGAAAAGTGAAGAACGGATGAAAGAGGAATGAGGTGATACAATGTAATTTTAACTAAGTAACATTTTTTGAAAAGATTCCAGTGGAGGGCACAAACTTTTTCTGGAAGTGTATGCCACACTTTAGGCCAATCATTATTGTCAATTCAGGAGGAGAGGAGTCATCCATAAATTTTATCACTTCTATAAGAGTACAAAATATCTTTTGTGTGATTATCCCTCCTTCCCCCTGAAAGAAGTACACAATAAAATGTGGATTTGTGTCATTTTGAGATAATGATTTTATCTTTTTTATAAGAGTGCTTAGCCGGTACTCCTTCTTCATTTAAACCTATACACATAGGCTGAGGGGGAAAGGGGGGATCTGTGGACTGATAATGACCATACATGCATTGGAATAGAAATTTTGTTTGGATTTCTCAATTTCTGTACCCTCCGTTTCACATTCTCAATTGTCGCAACCCACACTGTCAACTCCCCATCCCTAAAGCGTATGTACAGTATTGTACAGTATTCTACTCTTTGAAAATTATGGATGGCCCGTATTTAACAAAATTTTGTTTTTCTAAGATCCTACTTTATTTCTAGTAAACTTCATGTGAACCCCTATTTTTTTTGGACAATGTCTCACTGTATAAAACATGATCATGATCAGAAAGACTATAAACACTTTGGATATAAAATCTTTTAAAATAGATTAATTCCAACTTTTATAGACGAAATATATCACTTTGACCGTATGGACATCTATCAACTAAAGTATTACATGTTCGTAATCAGGTGTTTCATGACGCACATTAACAGAGTTTTCTTTTTGGTCAATTATAATTTATTCAAATCTTGAAATGTGCTTGGTTTTGTATTACTGTACAATCATTTCACTGGATTACCAATAGCAATCTTAATTTCACTTAATGCGGCACATGCTAAAATGTTCAATTTCAGAGATGATGTTAATATAATGAAAGCCGAACCAACATTCTGCCATCATACTGTACTACTTTACACAATTAAGGATGACATGTTAAATAGAAATCTGTAAAAAAGTATTGTTAAAAAAAGAGACTATTATTCTGTATTAATCTTACAGTATTATCTTAAAGATGCATTGTCCCTTGCTAATGTCAAAAAATCATAAAAAATAATTTTTAAATAAACTTGCTCATATTGCAATAGCATACAAATTATTAACTTGTGCATAAAAATTATTGAAATTAAAAATGTGTACCCTGATTTTTAAACCAAAAAATAATAATAAAGATAATAAAACAATTATTACTTTTAAAACAAAATTTTTGGTATTTAGCATGGGACAATACATCTTAAATATTCTTTATATTAAAGTAGCTTTTTCTAGCTTCAAGATGCTCATTATGCTGGGTATATTAAGTTGCTAGAATGCATTCATATACCCTGCATATTTGTAAGGGTCCACCCAAAACCAAATTTAAGTTATAAATACATTATATTTTCTATGAGCCTGATTATAATAAAAGCAAAACAGATTTGCTAATGCCCAAAGTTCACTCATAAAAATAAGGAGCAGGGAGATGTGTGAGAATTCACATTTTGATTTCAAAATTTGACATAATTTTTTGTAGCCTTATTTCTCATACAGTACCAGGCAACTAAAAATCATACAAAATTGATTATGCATTTCATAGAGCTGTCACGCCAAAATTGGTCCGGGCTAAAAATGGTCCGGCGGACAGATTTTGGCCGCCAAAATCGGTCCCCCTTGGATAAAATTGGTCCGTCGGCCTGGCCGTTCGCATCTGCAGCCCGTAGGGTATGATTGTTTCTCCCGTGAAGTGGAAGGAAGTAATAATTATGCTTCTCCCACACTTGAAAAATCTTTTGCAGTGACAGAATGATTCGTGGTTAGCTTTTGTGTATCCGGGTGTGGACCCCGTTTTGGACGAATTTTAACGAACAAGCATGATAATGCATTCCTAGGCCTAGGCGACACACACATCGGCATTTTCGGCGGCTGTGCTTGGCCTAGGTTTTTTGAGCCTAAAATGAAACACAAGTCTGCTTTATTAGCTTTAAATATTCCATATTATTGTGTGTGATATTAGGTCATACAATTGTTTGTTTTATTACATGAAAATAAAAAGGGTCAATAATTTTTTTTGGAAATGATTGCTCATTATTCTACCACTTCGTCGCGGCGTTAACCAAGCACACAACCAAAACAAAACAAGGTAAAAAATAAACTAAAGCGGGCCAACACGATTTACTTGATCATAACGTTTAAGTTCTTTTCTAACTTTTACACCTAAGAGTTTACTGGGCGTGAAGAGCGAAATAACATATTAATTTTTGTGGCGGCTGTAAACTCAATTGCACGCACAACGGGAATGAAAAAATATTATTTAATATGAGATGAGATATTTATCTATCATTTGGTTAAAAACAAAAACAACGCTAAAAAATACAGGTTATGAGTACTAAATAGATGCTGGACTGATTTTGGCTTATGTGGACTACATTAATTGGCAGGTAATTTTAAAGCAAAATCGGTCCAGCGGACCATTTTTGGCCCCTGACCAAATTTTTCCTGACAGTCCTATCCTTTAACATATTTTAAATTTTTATGCAACTTTTTATGCAACTGTTGCATAATTTGGAGGAATTTAATTCAACAAGAAAAATACTCCTTAATTTATTTTAAAAAAAATTTAATGGTTTTTATAAGAAATACTGAACTAGTTTGGTAATGATACACATCTAAATTATAATTTGCACTACAGTATTCAATTTATTCTTCAGATTCAGCGCAGTCTACAATGTAAATAATTAGAGAAGAGGGTCGGTGAGACAACAGTTGAGAACAATATGAATTGATTACATACTCTTTCATCTGAATCTATGTTAACATCACAGTTCTGTCTCTATTGTACATAATTATTTAGATTTTTTTAAAGGTCCACTGATTAATCTCAGATAAGAAAGTATATAAAACATACTCCCAAGTATTGAAAAATGCCATCGTGTCTGGATTCAATATTTAAGTAAATCTAAACTTTGATCTTTATTTTAAATCACAGTTATGTCACCTACTAGAGGTAATGTTTTGATTGGTTGACACTTTTGGTAATTGTTGTCTATAAGCTTGTAAATATGGATAAATTATCATTCCTGATGATGACATAATTAATGTCAAAATACTGAGTCCCAACATGATGGCATGTATTTCAATACATAAGAATATGTAATGTCCATACTTTCTTATATAAAATGTATTCAATAAAATTCATTAAAGTTACCGTATATAAGACATTCCATTTAATAAAATAACAATTCCAATTATATTAAAATTAGGCTGTAGGCCTATTTACTGTACAACATTAATTGATTCAAACAAGTTTTTCAGTAAGCGTAAATTTCCATCACAATAATGTGTAACTATACATGAAATTAACCATTCAGTGTATTCCAGAATTAAAACATCATTTAAAATTCCCCCGAACATTATCTTATGTGATAGGATTTGACACATACAGTAGGCCTACCGGTAACTTTAAATTATTTTATTCAAATATACTTTCAATAATTTGATTTTAACATTGGATTAAAATCATGCTCATAATATGATTCAAATTGCAAGTTTGCACACGTTTTTATGCTAAATAATAAGTTGCTGATTACTTTACAGTATCTTGTGATTTAATACGCATCTTAATTTCAATTGACAAGTCATTCCATATTCTAATGAATCTAGCCGGTATACAATATTTTGCTGAAATCCGTTCTGCCATTCACATGAAAACATTTTAATTTCCGCTTATCAAATTAATTACATTGCATTCGATCTTTCTAGCACTTAAATCACACTAAATGTGCCAAACCAGTCACTCCTCGCAATTTTTTTTTTAGTTATTATAAGGGTTAAAATTAAAGAGTAAAATGAGAGCTATGAAATGGTAAACAAATTATTTAAATCCAACATTTTGTTGTGAAATTATAGAGGTTTAAACAGACAGCTGTTTACATACAAGTACAGGTATCTAAGAAATCAGCCTCAAAAGTTTACAATTTGTGGGAATTCTCAGGCCGAGACTATCACCAAATCATAAAAATATGTTGTTTTTTAAAAACATAAAAAATAGGTAAAATAACAACATAGCATGATGTATAGAATATAAAGTTTAGTTTAGTGAAATAAAAAAGATTTTGAAAATGTTGACATTCCAGCATGTTTTGACCGTTACAGTATGACTCTGCCACAAAATATAATCCTGGTACCAACATGTTTTTGGGCAGTCAACAATGATAGTTTTAATGTTTAATACAAATCCCCATCAATTACAACATGTAGAGTAGTATTAACTTGATCCTGTTTTTAAGATTGAGGTAGTATTATTTAGTACATAGCCTATAGTAACACACAATATAAATCTGATTATGTCACATTTATTGTTATTTGAAGCTTATAATTTCCAATAGGCCCAACATTCTTCAGAAACAATTAAACCTATTCCTACTGATTTAATAGCATACTGGGCTTCTATCATTATCCCTAGCTGAAAGTTTTTGTTTTCCAATTAATCATTATGTGGTAGACAGCAGGCCAGCAAAACAGAATATCAAAAAAGTAATTCAGTAGTAGTTTTGTCAGTAAAATGTATCTACTTCATTAGCATCCCCTCTTTATAAGGACAATAATCCATACAGGTCTTCAACCAGCGTCATTAACATTGTGTCTTTCAACTTTATCATTACTACCATTATCCGGGCAGCATTATAATATTAATGATACCGATTTACAAGTCTACCTCACTTTATATCATTAATACTACATCATTAGCTTCATTGTATAATACTTACTGTATAATAAGAATACAGCACTTCATACAATGTTGTAACAGACAGATGTTATTTACTAATCAACAGAGGTAACTAATTCATTAAATGATTAATTACAATCCCAATCTATAATTGCAATTGCCATCTAATATATTAATTAATTCACTTACTTCGTTATAAATTGTCCAGTTGACAATCCAACACATGTAGAGTATCGCCCAAACCATCAGCAGTATTTTATAGATTATTGGCTCGGGAAACTCGTCCATGCTCAGATGACGTTCCTTGTTCATTGTAGTCAGCCTTGACTAAAAACAATGCAAAAATCAAATCAAATCAAATATATAAGCCTATGTATCCAAGTATCATTAGATAAGAGCACAGTATCCGTGCTTTGGGCATATAATCAAATAGGAGGATAGCTGCGTCTAGATGTCGATTTTTAATTACTGAGTAGTATGTTACCTAGCACAGTTTATTTTTCTGTTCCAATAAGATACAATTGTGGCTTAATAGTTGAAGATCCAAATCACTTCTTTATTGATTGTCCAAAGTATGCTGCTCAGCAAAATATCTTACTCACTGACATCTGGGACCTTTTTCCTTTTATGTTGTCCTAATTAAACAATCCTAATTTACATTTATCAGATTTGTCTTTTTTAACCAATTATTTTAGTTAGAGCATAGAGGTATAAACCTCCATGGTTAGAGGCAGTACAGACCTAAATTTTTTTTTTAATTGTATGTTTGAGATTGTTCAAAAGTATCTTAAGTACAAAAGGACCACTGAATAATCTTTATGTTATTAAAAAAAAGAAGATACAATTCCTTAATAAAGGCCGATAGTATTATAAGTTTTTAGAACGAACGCCGTTAATATCTTATGTGGCCACAAAACCAATGAACAATCAGAGAACACGGGCGCACTTGCATGGCGAAATTGCGACTTCCAAGTTGTAAATAGGGGAGTGACATTATTTTCAAACTAGATAATCCTCTCTTCATACTCTTTGATAATAATTGTTAATAACTTCAGCCAAATCTGAAATGGACTGTTTTTGTTCAAGGTCAAACCAACATATTGGTCAGTTTGTTGGTGAAATTACACCAAGCCACGCGGTAGTTTAACCGAGTGAATCATGCTAAATAGGAATAACCAGTCTGTTTTCTACAGCAGAAGAGTCCAAAATGCGAACACAAGTCCTTTAATTCCTCCTGGCTTTAGTAGTTGCTATTCTTTCAATCTTATTGGCTTTGATTCAATACTGGCAAATGCTACGTTATTTTCTTCTCACTACTAAACTAAACTCCATAAAGCCAGACATTTATTACCATCAGATTGTTGTCTGTCAGACTTCTACTAACAATGTTTGAACTGACCAGTGAAAAAGTGTATTGTCAGACTTCTAATGTCAATCAGAGTGGTACAGTAGTCTGAAAATGCACAACCCAACCTCAAAAATATGAATTGACCAAAGGGTTTCTATCCTAAGTTTTATGGAATTTCTCATTACAGTATAACCTGATTTTCACGTAGAAGATTACTAAGCCATTTCAGGTTTTCTTTTTTAATGTACACATGATGATGTTGTTACGCGATCAGAATGAAATGACGTATGATTAAGAAAGCTACCATAGATGGATCAAGCTCGCTTAATTCCGATGTAAACCAGAGACGTATATTTGTAGGTGATAGGTGTGCATTTGTCAGTTTTTGCTGACAGTCGACAGCTTTCAATATATGACCGTAAATCATAGTGAAAGTAAGCTACTAATATATCAAAGAATACTGTAAATCCCTATTTGAAATGAATGCAAGAGTCTTGAAATTTACGGGGAAATTATTTCGTAACCAGATGATTTCCATGGAACTATAAGAACAGAGAATAATAACAACGTCCGGGAGATTTTAAGTTTAGTCTTGATACCGCGACTTTTCCATTCAAACCATTACTCTTCCATCCAAATCCTGAGGGTTGAAACTAACAATAACTTCAAATTTCTCTAGTTTTTAGAATTTTATTTTTCTTATTAGCTTCTGTATTAATAATTGTTGTATAATGTGCTTTAATATGATTAGATTAAATTCATTTAATGCTGACTGATTAGTAAATATGATAGATTTGGATCTTCTTTGTAAATTGACCCAAGTTTTGCTGAAACCGTTTCTACTGTCCAGAGGCATTGCCAGTATGTGAGACAGCTGGGAACAGACTCTGCCCTTGGGGCAACTGGCTTAGTAGCCGTTGAAATTCTGTCAGAGAAAAATTTCTTCAAATTATTTTGTATGCAAGACATAGTTGGCATAGAGTACCATTTTAAGGTATCTGAGCTGACATAACCGGCATTGTTTTTAAGTGTAGCCCACTGAATGATGGACCACCTGTCGGGCACTCTGCTACTGTCTCTGTACACCTAAGCTGTTTAAAATGTTTGCATAGTACAAAGTGTATTAGTAAATACAGACAGAGAACATAAAATCAACTACAGAAGAAGAGATTAATGTAGCCATTGGAGGATGTTCACTTCTGTCAGATATGATCGGAGCTCATTTCTTGAGAACAGCATAGCGCAGTCAGCTATACTGGTGGTAGCTGCTGTGTGTGCGCTGAACCATGGAGATCCCTTGGAACCCAGTTCAATTTACATCGAGCTGCTCCCCTTGTACAGCTGGAGGGCTGAATACAAGTTACAATAGCTCACTGTCTTTCGGATGATACGTTTTAAAAGTCATTAGTTCCATGTGCATTATTGCCCATATGCACGTAAAAGAACACAGGGTACTCCCCAGAATCCAGAAGGACCCCACTGGAAATAAGTCTTCTTCAGACTTTTGTGGGTTATCCATCCATCACAAGACACTGCTTTAAATATTATTATAATTACTTAAATACGGTAGTATTTTATGATTGTTTCTGTTCGACTAACTTGATATATAAAACAGTCTGAAGACGTACCACCACATTTCCCACAAGATTTACCAGTAAAAGATTTTAAATTAATTGCAGACAAATTGCCTTTGCACTTGATAAAACAAACCATATACAGTATTCAGGGGTATAACAGAGAACAAACTTTTGAGGGTGGGGGGAGGAAAGGAAATCCACTTTATTAATTATTTTAGGATGCTCTGTGATTAAAAGTTTAAATTACTTAACTATTCCAATGTGAAATTCATCTTTCCTATTATGATATCCAGTCTGCCATGTTATGACGATTAAAGTAATAGATAGAAAGAGAAAAAGGTCTGTTCCACTATCTGTTTTACAGTACATTAGTGCAGTTGCTGTCAGTAGAAAGGAAATTTAAAGTATTTATAGTTACTTTTAAAATAAAGTTTTAATCTTTAAATTTATGCCAGACATAGCTGGCCCTTGTTGTAGGCACTATTAATGAGAACACAGCCTTGGGATCACACGAATCATCACTTTGAAAGCCAAGCTTCAGTGCAACTTGCTTTAATAGGAATCACGGTAAATTAAAGATTAAAACACTGAATTTAAGTAATTGCTTTAAATTTCCTTTCAGTGACAGTGACTGCAGTATTGTATACAAAACATATAGAGCAGGCCTCAGACAATGGGACAGGGTTTCAGGAAAGATGGGTTTTAGTAAAGATGAATTTCTCAAAGGAATAGTTAAATTATTTAAACTTCCTTATCAACAGAGCATTCAAAACTAATTAAGAAAATGGCGCTTATTCGAGCATTTATGGTACCTAGCAGTATTTGACGTGGGGCCGGGGGAGAGACTGAGGCACGGAGGTTAAGTGGAGGGTCTTGATGAATTAGGAGCCCAAGCTCGCAATAGCAATTTTTTTCTGCTCAGCAAATTTTGCCCAAATTTCCCTGATGTAGATATGCCACCAAGTTTAATGTTCAAACCCACTAAAATCAAAATAGCCTCTTGTCCTGTTTGTAATTATAATTAAACACTAATTCTCAATTAATACATTTTAAAATGTCTTTCAAGTATGAAAAGTTTCCTTAACATATTTTTATATTTTTTTCTGGCCATAATGCAACTGAAATGAGTGTGGACTCTTTCTGCTATCAATTGGGTTGACAACTATCATTACCTGGATTGCCTGTTTTTTAATTTGATATCTATTATATTGATAAAATATTTATGCACAATCTGAATAACATATTTAGTTGGCTTTTCAAGGTCTGCTTATTTTCAATGGAGTCCAAAACCATTTAAAATCTGAAAGGCTAGTAATAAAATATTAAAGAGAAATGAATAAAATATTATCTAAAACAAAATTATGGTTGAGTTCAATGTTTACTCCTAGAGCAACTGTCATCAAATATCTTTAAAAAGTTGGTGTAACTTATATATCAAATAGGTAGGGTATGGTATAAATCCCTTAAATTACTAATCATATTATTACATAATATTGTATTACAGTATTACTATTATGAAGATAGAATTATATAATCTACAATTTACTATTAATTAGGATTTATCTTGCAACAATGTAATATGGACAGAATGATATATGGTACAAATACATTAATCCCTAAAGTCTTGTGCATTAATATCTGGATATGTCTTGAATACTGAATTTGTATTAATATGCATTAATGTGCATGTAGGTTGCGCGTATGAAATGTAGGGTAAGAGGCCATGAAGCAACATGGCTATCCTTACAAAGTAGCTTTAAGGCGTGATTTTTTGTATACTTTGTTTGTGAACCAGCCGCCTGTCAATAATAATGATTATTATTCTTTTTTGGCCAATTAGCGCACCCGCCGCCACAAAAAAATGGAAATTTCAGAAAAATATATAAGATTTCTTTATATTTATTATGCCCGCCTCTACCTTGAAATCTCCTAAAATATATGTATATTTTTTTTCTAATTATAAGTTTAAAGCATTTAACCATTCCATTACTACACAGTTTATATTGACCAATAAAATTTTATTCTTATTTTCTCCTCCATCTTTTTCTTATATGGTTTTTTGGCAAAACCATACAAGAAAACAAAATTTTATTTTTATAATTATTTTTTTGGGCATCGAATGCAAGTAAATTATCAATTATATGATCAATTTAATAATCATCATTATCAATCATCAACTTCAACGATCATTATCATCATCATTGTCAAACTATCATCATCATCGCTGATATCATATTTCAAGATTTAGATAAGTGACTTAACTTCGACGTGAACCAGGCTAATGAGAGGTGCAAGTTCTCTGAAAGAAGTCCTAATTCCCCACTAGATTTCAAATCAGATGATCAAAGGCCCCCTTCACCCCCCAATGAGAGGTCCAAGTTCTCTGAAAAATTCCTAATTCCCCACTAAAAAAAAAAGAATCTCAGGGAAATCTATCAAAATGATTTTTTTTTTAGCAGAAATATTTTCTTCCAGGTTTACCTCTTGTTCCTATTTTGTATTTAATATGAAATCTCAGAATGCTACAAATAAAATTTTAATAAGTACTCCTTGTGAGGTGAATGGTTTCGACTACGTAGACAGTTACGAAATGTATCAAACTTGCACAGCAGAAATATACTGTAATATCATAGTGTAATAAAAAACAAACTGGAAAAGCTTGAAAATTTACACCCAACAGAAATTAAATGTCATACCTCAAAAAAATTGAAACAAACCCTTAAAGTGGATATTCTTGAATCGAACAAACAACAGACTTTAACAGACAAAAATAATAAATCATTACCATGCCTATTGCCAGAATAGCAACCACAGGTTTCTGCGGCCATTTCTCTTCTTTGATACATAATTTACAAATTGAAATTTACCGTCCATTAAATTAATTTTCTGTTGAGTCAACTCACACAGGAAATATACGGATTCTGTACAAGTTTGCATAACAGAAAATCAATCGCAGTACATCATGCTCGCTAAAACTAATGCATTTGCTGTTGCAAGGAACCATTGACAATAGCAGAATTCAGTGATCGTATTACTAGATTCATGTTTTTACTCCCAGTAAACAGCTGTCTCTTCATTTACAAGTCAGAAATAATAATTCACAGTCATTCTATTAATTTCATGTAGGCTGCTAGTTAATTTCAAATATTAATTTCAGAACGGTCACAGCCGATTGGTTAGCTACCAGTGTTGGGTTGTTTATGATGAATTTAAAGAAGAATTTTAGGAACCGAATAGCTTGGAATAAACAGCTTAACTTCAAGTAAACAGTTTAAAAAGAACTTTGAAGTGTATTAGAAATTGAAAGGCCAATCAGCAAAGTTAAGAATATAAAAGATTTTTGGACCCTTGGAAAACAATGGAACCTTTAGATATGATAACTGCCGATACTGAAATATTTGTTAGAAACTGATTATTGGAATTTTTGGAACTAAATTTCAAGGCATAAAGAAGGCCATAAAAAAATTGTGGGCCGAAGTGTCTAGCCCCCCCCCCCCTCCATTTTGAATTCGTGGATCTGCCATTAGGACAACATTAAACTCTACTTTAATCCAATCAAAAATGTGAAAATACAGTATATCAATAAAATATAATAAATTGTTAAATGTAAATCTATACACAATGCAGTTTTAATGTACTATAATGAGTTTTGAAAATAGCAGAATATAATGAAAATTAATTATTTATAAACAACATTAACATTAAGACAGAGCTGATGAGAAATATTCTAATAGAAAAAAATAGCTTCATGATATTACAACTAGCTTACAACGTAAGTGACCTAGATAATCATTGACCTATTAAATCAATATTGTGATCAAAATAACATACAATTTACAGAGCCTGTATCTCAGTTGATTTTTCTCTTGCTCAAATTAAATACCATCATTCTTGATCAGATAATCTGGTTTATCCCTTATTTTCTGTTGCAGCACCTATTGTAGTGTCATCAATATTATCATTTCTAGTTTCATACCTTCATTGTTATCGCAATAATGGACATCTCAATCATTGTCATTATACTGTACAAGCATATTCATCATAATCATTGTCATCTTAATCATTTAAATCATGGAAGAACTTCATCTGGTATAGAATCATTATTGTCTTGTCTGTCATGAAATTATCAATCATGATCATTGTAATAATCATCATTATCAATCATCAACTTCAACGATCATTATCATCATCATCATTGTCAAACTATCATCATCATCGCTGCTATTATCACCATCATAATATTCATATCATATTTAACATCTTTAGCGTACAACTCAGAAAAACTACCATAGGTATGTCATAATTACTTTTTCAAAAATGTTATTTATTTTGGATTTCGCTGTATTTCACACACCTGCTACATGAACTGTACAAATATGATGCATAATCTGACATCATCAGCATTTTTGCATTCAAATTGAACTGTCTGCAGAACGTGAATTATCCAGGGTGTGAAAAGTGCTTTAAATGTGACAGGCTAACAACATGTTTGTAATTGCATGTTAAATGCATTCCAACTAATAGCGAATGCATACAGACCTACAGCACAGTTAGAAGATTTCTGTATGCACAATAAATATAACAGCCCATCAGACAGATTAGAGGTTGCTCCTTTAAAAACTTAAATCTTCTTTATGGTGTAGCAGCAAACAGGGGGCTGTTAACGTAGGTAATTACAGTTGATTCTGCATAGGGAGATTAATTCCCTACCTGCAGGGCCAACTGTTAGTCCAACTGTGGTAGTGGCAACAGCATTGACTTCTTTTTCCTACTGTAGCTTTACATAGTCAACATCACAAGCCAACAACTTTTAATTCTTCTGCATTTGACATGATAACATTAAAGTGATAGATTCATATTATATGTCCAATGGTAATACAGTATAATTTTATTTTGGCATGCTGTATTAAATGCCTTAATTAAAAAAGCTAAACATTCTGAGCTCAATTTCTGAGATTGGCTGTGATCCAGATCATTAGCCTCATTTAGCTTTATGTTTATGGTAAGATTGACCCCGATGCTATGGTTGACTTCACCCACAGTTGTTGCGGAATGACGTAAGGTAGTTGCACCCATACACAAGTCAGCTCAAAGATATTGAAATATGGGGTTATTCTGTTACCCTTTATAAAATATGTAATGGTAAGGAAAACATTTTCTGGTTCTAGTTTCAATTGAAAGAACTGAATAACAATACATTACTGGGTAGCAGGTAGTTAAAATGACAAGGTACAGTGAACAATGCAAATAAAGAATTGTTCAAATTTAGCAGCAACAGCTCACTGGCATGCAATACCGGGCCTATCAAAATCTTTGAGCCCAATCACAATTAAGAGTTACGTGGGCTTCTCAGGACCGCCTAAGGCCACCATTTTTTAAGTGTGAACAATAAATTTTAATAACCAGCTCAAAGCCGACCTAAATTTAGTCAAGCTTTAAAGTGGGTTGCAGGTCCTGCAATGCGGGACGTAGGCACGCTCATTTTTACGTACAAACCAATTGCAAAGAAAGCAGTGTGAACATATTTCGTATTTAGACCTCACAATACTGTAATATGCCCATATACAGTACGGACATATTAATATATCATAATTATTATGTACTGTAGGCATGAGGATGACATCACCCCTATTATTCACCCTAGTGTACATTATAGAGTTTGTTGTATTCATATAAACAGTACTAAAGTACTATAAAATATATGATGCACTGTATTGAAAGAGGATTCTATTCATTACAGTATTTGTGATGAGATATAGGATACGTAAAGGAGAATAAAGTAGCCTACAAAAATTACCCCAAGTTCAATGTAATACAAAATTACAGACCCTCATCATTATATTATGTTATTATAGTACAGGTATACAAGGTACTAGGCTGTGTGTCAAGAAATAATTGTTTTATCTCCAGAGATTTATTTAAATACTGAGTGATAGGCATCTGAAAAGAGGTTTTAAATCAATGCTGTACTTTACATTAAAAACAAAATATCAGACTACTCTAGGCTGACATTGCGAAATTCAACAGGAAAACAATGAACGAGTTAAAAGTATTCCAAAACCAATACCAGCAGGATTTACAATACGACAAAACCTGCAGCCAAGGGCTCCAAACACAATACTATGAAAGTAATAATTTATATTAACATAATTACAAGCAGGTTTGAAAATTGGTCAATTCCCATAATCTTTAATGGTATGCAAATGATTTAGAGTAGCAGTGCATTAAATGTTATGATCATTTTTACATCCAAAATCTAAGAAACACATTCAGACATACCGTATGACAAAAATTATTGACACACTTAAATTAGCACAGTGCACACAATAAAATGATAGAAAAAAACTTTAGAAATCACTTTACTAATTTAATGAGGATGGGATAGTCAAATCTAAATATTATTGGTTATGTATGTAAGTTGAAAGAAAGACATGTTTTATACATAATTATACAGTACGGATAAAAATTACTGCCTTCGTAGCATGCATAGCTACTCGTAGATAACGCATGGGATTTGCATACTCTAATAGCTGTATCTTGGATAATTGGCTCACTTAAAAATTAATACTTTACTATATGTTAACATTAATTTCAATGAGAGAAATCAAAAATAAACAAAGCCTTACCCGACAAACAGCTCCCTGCGATATAACAGGTGTTGATGGTTTACTTTTATCTTGAGGACATAATAGCATCATGAACAAAAAGCTGTGCTGCCGTTCAAACGTATGGTTCAGGTAATAAGAGACATGATCATCTATGGTACGGTGGACTTTCATATGCGAGCAAGGCAGTACGTCTAATGGGTTTGGTTCGACCTCTCCGAGTTGGTGGCACAATCCTACTAACATATCCTTGTTCCATTGCGAAACCTTTGGAGAAAAAAAAAGTTTGAATCCAGAGGCTAAGAGCAACGAGCTACAGCACGCAAGAGGGAAAAATTGCTGCACAAACAGCAATTTTGTTGAAGCTCATGACCACCATGTGTTTTCCCTACATCTTTGGATAGAAAACCCTTGTTTTTTAATACAGCCATTCTGACACTGATCTGTAAAAAATACAAAAGGTTTTGCAAGCACAATGGAAACGTCAAAAGTTTGGATGTGACCATCTGTGTTAGACCAAAAATTCACTTCGGTGATCCGAACAATTTATATTCCTACCCCAGCTATGGCAACACATGAATAAGTATCAAAATTCAATTTAAAAAATTGATTGAAAAAATTGGATAAAAAATTAATAAGTAACTTTCGATGAGACGTATTATTACAGCTATCAGGTTTTGCTGAATTACATGTAATGGAAACCTTCCTTCAGCAAATACTATTGAGTCTTTACAAAGAATACAAATGTCATCAATTATGCATTGACCTCAATGGAGGAGCAAAATATTTTCTCATAAAAATTGTTTTAATCATTTACTGCAATATAAGCAATTCCAAATACCATATTAAATTAAATGTTTAAGTTTATTAACCTGGCATAGCCAATATCTTTAAGGGATACTGTACTGTATATTTCATAATAATTATTCTCCTATCAATCAAGAGGATACTTTGTGTATTCTGTTACCTGGCGATTAAGTCACAGTCAAAAGCATTACTCTACTAATCTTGTTAAGCATGCCAGCAATTTTCATAAACTGCATATTATCGAAGAAAAAAAGGTTAATTTCCCTACAATTGCCATTCAAGGCTTGCCATTAAGAACAATGGAGTAGTAATTTGTCCTCAAAATGCTCTGTAATTAAAATAATTATTTTTCAACAATAAACTGTTTCTTAATGCTAATCATACAGTATTGTACTGTATTTTCTGTATAACCACTGGAACTTTGGATGCTTATGCTGAAAGCAAGACAAGGAAGTAGTAGGTATAAATACAAATATAATATATAATAAAAGTTTTAAATAGCAAACCAAAAAAATTTCCTACATTGTCATGACATAATTTTTTAATCTTCATAATTATGAATTTTTATTTTCTCCCTTTGCACAGTATATTTCAATTTGATATTTGTATTTAAGGCTTTTCATTCTTTGTATCTTCATTTATAATAATAATAATAACAAAAATATAAAAACGTTAATAATATTAATCAAAAAAATTAGAAATGAATATTACCAACCATCCATAACAAAAATTAATTGCATAAATTTTCTTTATCAAAAATATCTATTATGAACTTTCTTCTAAAGCACTCACCTCTCTTCTGTCACCATAGCTACAAGCTAATAAGTAGACATCAGGGTAAATATGATGATTCTGTTGAAGAAACAAATGTTCAACTCAAATCTATTAATGGTGATTTATGTGTCAGCAGTGGTTTGGGCTCTTAACCTTGTACTTGGTGGGGGAGAGGGGAGGTTCTTTACTGTATGTTTGCTTTTCGAGTCTACAGTATACTAGGAATGAAAACAGTACCTGGGAGGATTTTTAAAGTTTGCATTATGCAGAGTTGTAGCTATGGAAAACTACAGTAAGGGTGAGTGATAGACATTTGAAAGGGTGAATAGGTGATTGACATTGGTAAACTCAAAATAATAATACATTGTTTCGCAAACTAATTTTTTTAAAGATCATCAGAGGACAGCTGATGAATAAATAAAAATAAAATTTTGGTTTTTTATTTAGTATTAAATAGTCCAGACAGAAGAGAATATAAAAATAAAATTTTGGTTTTTTATTTAGTAAATAGTCCAGACAGAAGAGAATATAAAAATAAAATTGTATTAGTGAATGTAAACAGTGTAGCAGTATATGGGATGGTTATATAATGCTTTAAATTTATATAATTTTAGGAAGAAAAATACATTTTATTTTTAGAGATTCGAAGGCAGCGGTGGGCGTAATAAAAATAAAGAAATTTCCATTTTTTTGTGGCAGCAGGTTCTCAACTGTAATTGGCCAAAAATAAAATTTAATTTTGATTCAAAATCATCATCATTGGCAGATTTGCTAAAAAAAAAAGTATAAAAAAAGTCTTGCCTTAACCACCTAATCTTATTAAAGCAAAATTTAAAAACTACTTTGAAACCAACAACTAAGTATATCACAAGTAGCAGTTACTAATTAGTAAAGCTATGTACTTTAAAAATTTACAGTAGTAAAAATATAGGCCTACTTGTACTGTAGTAGCACAATTATCAGGCAGTATTGCATTTACCGTAAACCTGGAAAAGAAGCCCATGTACTGTATTTCTTTTTATATTTCAGATGCTAGATAGCTTCTTTTCTAGATGGGTTTCTTTTTTGAGATTAACTAAATGCAAATTCAAAAAAAGGCTTCTTTTCCAAATGAATGATTGTAAATAATGGGAATTGCTAAAATAAGGTAACGCTAAATTACTTCTACTATTAGACATTCTTTCCCAACCATTAACTTACATAAACACAAGCGATACTTTATTATTCACAATACAGTAGCATCGCATTGTGATCGATTGCAGCAATTGCGATACCCAATTGCAATTCACAATTGTGTGTGAAAGCTAGTAGTACTGTAGATAAGCATCAATATCGCACTTGTCACCTGTTGCGTTTTGGTGCTACAACTCCTGATAACCATAGAATCCAATTGCAACGAATTCCACAGGCACTGATTGGCTGAGGTTTAGTCAACATTTGTAGGTCTACTGTAGCCACCAGAGACCTGGTGTACATGTACAATAGTACCATCTGACCTCCCATTCATAAAGTTTTTTGGTGTCTGATTTGTTCTGAATGCACTTGTTGATTACAATCAAGAGTAATCAGTTTTGGAATACCACCGATTATATCAAAACTGATCGCAACGCAGTATAGTCTAAATAGGGTATTAGTTTCATTATGGGGCTTAGGAAGTTTAGGAACCATGACAGGAAGTGAACCCAGAACCTGGGATTGGAAGGCAAACATTTTTACCACCAAGCTGCTAAACTCCACTCAATTCCAAAAACCAAGTGTTTTTTCATCAACATTTATCTGTTTATTTTTTTTACAATGTAAGTATAAATGAATGAATGAATTTATTCGGAAAATATCAAAGTCTAGAGCAAGAAAATTTAAAAATGTGCACACATTTAAAAAATATACACACAATGATAGCAAAATTCCAAGGACAAAAAAGACATAGCATTGAAGGCCTTAGCACTATCTCAAAAAGAAGGCCATACCATTACTAAAGTATCTTTTCCTGGTTTCTTTTCAAGATGGATATCCTCTCGAGCACATAGGTCTTCTTTTCAAGGTTTTACAGCATTTTTTATTTTTAGGTAAAAAGCCTGTATATACTGGAAAAAAATCTGATATATTTTCTTTTCTGCTTATAATATACAGTAATAATTCTATAGAAAAAAAATCCAATCATCTTTATATGAAATAACTCAAGATTCTTAAATTATCTCAGTACATTTACAGAACACTTTCTTTCATCAGTCAGGCTATTAAGTCTTATGGGTTTTACGATGAAAATCCTTTTATAAAAATGAGACTGTAATTTATCAAAGCGATTGAAAAAGCAGAGTAATATAATAACTTGATGTGGTAAAATTTGAAAACAAAATCAATCAAAACCCTAAATTTGCTCAATGTAAAAGAATCAAATATGATCAACTTCCAACGAAACACAAAAACTTTTACGATGAAAATCCTTTTATAAAGATGAGACTGTAATTTATCAAAGCGATTCAAAAAGCAGAGTAATATAATAACTTGATGTGGTAAAATTTGAAAACAAAATCAATCAAAACCCTAAATTTCCTCATGTAAAAGAATCAAATATGATCAACTTCCAACGAAATGCAAAAACAATTTAGTTTCCACAGGTTTAAAGATTTTTTTTTTTCGCCATACGAAAATACTTAAATTGATTGCTAACTGTAACAGAATTCTAAGGGTTTTGCAAAAAATGTGTTATTATGCTTAAAATTGAAAAGGAACTACAGTATTTTTGTTTGGAATTGAAAGTATATTAAATTATAAAACAGAATCTACTGTATTTAATATATTAAAGTTTAGTTCTACACAGTAAAAAATATTTCAACTGTCTCTAAAAGGAATACTGTCTGCCTAATAAGAAAAGCTTAAAACTAAGTATGTTATTGGGGCTTGTTTGTTCTGTGCATTGTTTTGCCTTTTTTCATTTTATTATTATTATTTTATTATTATTATATTTATTATTTTTATTATTATTTTACTTTAAGTTTAATCTAAATAATTTAAATATAGTCCGGGAGCCTAATTACAGGCCTTGGCTTCCTTCCCGGCACTTGTTTTGTAGGCCCTCTACTGTAGTTAGTCAAGTGAACAAGTGAATAAAGTGAAAGTGAAGTTGTATCAATCAATTAAAGTTTAAAAAGCTTATCTAAAAGGATCAAATTAAATATTAACTTCCACCAGAAACAGATAAAAAAATTTAGTCTTCACCGACTTTGTTTTATTTAATTGTCCGTTATTTGATCGAGGTTCTAGTCAGCTCTTGGTTGGGACATTATAGTCAGACATGTCGGAGCCCATCGCCAAATTTCTGGAGCCGCCGCTGAAATGTTTTTATTACACTTTTAATGCTTTTCTTAACGATTTTAATATTGATAATTAATTATATTTTATTTTTTATGTTTTCTATACTGTTATTCTTGATAGTTTTAAATTTTTTACAAAATGTTTTAAATGTGACTAAATTGTAAATTGGTAACTACAAATCAGCACTTTAGGCTGCTATTGTATTGAATAATAAATAAATAAATAATAATACATAAATAATGAAAATGGACTTTTAGCTAATGACAGAGTACTATATATATCATTCTTTAATATTTTCTTCCAAAAAAATGCTAACATTTCTTGATGAGAAATGATTAAAAAAAATTTGTTTAAGACAGGTGAATGTTTTATGGTTACTCATAGTGATGGATGGAAAACTAATGAATGTATGGTATTAGAGGGATTACTGTATAACCGATCCATTGACATTAATATTATAGGAATTCATATCAAATGACATTCTGATATTACTGATAAAATTACAATATAAAATGCAATATATGGTCTGTATAGATTTGGTTGAAATTTTGAAGACCTTGCAAGATTAATGGCATAGTAGGTTGCTTGATAATGCTCAGAACACTTGTTTTTCTTGTACTAAATTATTAGCATCTTGGGATTACAAATCTGAAAGTCTAATTATACTGATTGGTGACTTTAAGAAAGACAGAAGCAAACCATTTGGTTTGGAGTAGAGGCATGCAGTGTATCAGTTGATTTCAACTCAACATTAAACTTTATTGATCTTTTTTTTTCGGAGGCACATTTTGGGAATTCAAGTCACATACAGTAGGTCTACTGAGCAATTCAAAAAACCATACTGGATATGATAATATAATACATAGTCCAAGTACTGAGATGCACGCTATCATGTTGGGATTAAATACTGGATATCACAATAAAAAATATGATGCACCTTGTTGAGCAAAAATATTTTTTAACATATGTTTAGATGATGGCAGAAAAAAAAATAAAAATATAAAATATTATTTTCTCATTTGTAGCCAAATAGTTCTGCCAAAGCATCTACAGGTATGGGGAGAAGAAACAAATTTTCTGATTTTTAACATACTTTCAAATTTGTAGAAGTGAGCCAAGGCAAGGAAATCTGTTTCTACTGTTATATACTGAGTGGAGGAATCCCCGCTCTTGTAAGAATGCTTAATGAACATTAATAATTAGGTATATTCATTAAGCATTCTTACAACTGAATTAATTAATAAGAATAATGATAAATTTTGGCAATTGAATTAAATTTAATTGATTCAGATCATGGTTTAATTGAGCTTAGCATAATAATAATTCTACTTTTTTATTGCTGTATTTAATTGTTTTCTTTTAATTTGTGTGCCTTTATGATGTTCAAAATTATTTTTTTTATAATTATCTGTAATAGATTTTGTATGTAAATACAGTGATGTTAGCCCTTGGGCTTTTTAACTGTATGATGTATTTGCAATAAAAGACATATTAAAAATAATGCATTTTTTGGTATCTATGGAAAAACACATTTCTGGAGGGGGATTCCCTTCGAACTCCCTAGGGAGAGGGGTTTTTAGATCAAAAGCCTCACGCCTGAAAATTTCATCAACCATCATCATAGGTAAAATACTGTATGTAGTAAATTGGGCTGAGGATGCATTTCAAATTATATAGCCTAGGCCTAAGCCTAGCAAGCTATGTACTTGACTGGAATGGGCGGATATCACTAATCATGAGCATATCCATGGAAAATATTTTGAAGGACGAACATATACGCTACGGACAAGCGAAGGACGACACTCAGCTGGGAGAGCGAGAGGCGAGGCCAACAATGAGGACTAGGCTAGGCCTAGCTTATTCTAGGCAGGTCTCCTACCTTCTAGGCATAGGCTTAGCTGAGTAGAGTAGGCCTAGGCTAAAATTGATAAGTTGAAAATTATCTCTTAATTTTATAGGCCTATATTGATTATCACAATATATCAAATTGGATTAGTAAACTAAAGCTTACCTTAACTGGGCACATAAGTTGGAAGATCAGACTGGAGTCCTCACCGAAGCTGAAACTTCGATCCATAGCCAGATTCAAAGAGGGAACATTGTTGTACCCAGAAATAGACACATCTTTCTCAACAATACGTGCCTCCGCCGAGTAAAACATCAACAATGATATAACTATATTTAATGTATATGTGACTTTAATTTCTACAGTTTCCATGATTTCTGCATGCTTAAAACCTTACCAATAGCAAAATTACTAATCTTGTAAGTGGCATTTAAAATACAACCGATCAGCTGAAAACAATCAACCGAAGCGAATTTTGTTTGGTAGCTTATGCAAATAGTCATTTAAATCTTGGGTCATTCTATTTCTTCAAAATATTAAAGATGAAACTAAATAATTCACTCAGTAATTTTATCTTGAATACAAATTAGATTATTCTATATCATTTTAAAAATAGTATAAATATATAGATATGTATATTAGAATTTTACAAATTAAAGTGTTCAACAAATATGCATTTATTTTCTATAACAACAATAAATCTACCGATTCAAAATGGATTATTCTACTTACTGTACATTCATTTGAACGTTCCGTCAAAACACAGAGCGGTCGTCGGGATACGAAAGAGGGCGCTTTCCGATTTTCTAGGCCTTGTTTTAATCTTAAAAAATAATTATAATGTTAGAAATATATGTTGCAGGCTGATGATGGGGTGTTTGCAGTGACGGTGGTGGTGGTAGTGAATCATGGTGATGAGTCGATGATGTTGATGATGAATAATGATATTGGCTCGATGATAAAGGGCGGCCTTCTTATGAGTTTATTATTTGATCGATAATAAATGTACAGTAATCATTTAATAAATGATAATAATTAATGTCAATCCATAAATATTTAATCTAAACATGCTATAATTGTTATCCGTCATTTCATTATAAAGTAGACCTACACAATTCTTCGAAATGCAAATTTTTAGTTACAATTTACCCTTATAAATGTTGTATCGATTCGTGAGGGATTCCGCAGCATCAATGCATAGCCTACGTAGTACAAATCGCAAACTTAAACCATGCTTAAACATAGTATGTTTGATTGTCATAATGCATGAAGACTACCAACTTTAGACTACGGCACTGTTTGAAAGGGTTATTTAATATTTTTGATACATAGCAGTACAAAATACAATTCTAATGAACATCCACAACGATTACAAAGTAAAAATTCGAAAATTAAGCGAATAACTATTGCGGTAACGCTATATTAACGGCAGTACGTATATTTTAATTAAAAAGATGGTTGGGGGTATCCCTGCACAATTCCTTATCTAATATTCCTTATTTGTCTGAATAATTATACGTTCCGTCAACATGTAATAAAGTTTCTGTATGAGTGGGTGCATGCCCTATACATTCCCACTAAATTAATATGCATGATTATGTGCAAACGTCCGCGCGCATGTGTACGTGGCCTACTATTCCACCCAGGGCCGCCGAGAGCGGCCGAGCGCCCCAGGGCATCTTTGCTGCCCTGGCCCACTGGTTGGTGGTCTGAGGCCGCCTAGGGCCCCAGCGGGATCGAGGTGAAGATCTTGGTGTGCTCCATCCCTTCAGGAAGCCACGGCCTTTTAACAGATTAGTAGAGGACTAATTTAATCGATTATAGAGTGCTTAATTTCACCAGGGTCATGAAAAATAAAGTATAGAAACATGAAAATTAAAGCTCTCCTTTCTTTTATTCAAACGTGCTGAAAAGATTCATAACATAGGTATCAAAGTTTACAGTGGTGGATCCAGGAATTTGAAATAGAGGGGGCCCAGAGAAGGACTTTCACAGATGGACGGTCTATCTACCTCAGCCCCACCGTTGTGGCTGAGATAAGAGAATTTATGATTATGGCACCGACGGCCGGATATGGCACTCTTAGACTTAAATTTAAGTGATTTTCGTTTTTCCTAAAATTGTTATAAATTTTGAAAAAAAATAGGGGGAGGGGGACGGGCCTCCTCTTAAATTTGCCAATGGTTTAATATAATACGGTATTAATTCTGTATTTCAATGACAGTTGAATCGAATCTCTATCAGGTCTATTCGTATTTTCTAACTTGTATGTATATTGACGATGTCCAGCGTCCAAGCCTTTTATTATAATTAATAACGTAAAGAATTTACTATTTGATACATTGTAAACATAAACTCTAGCGTAGTAGACATGGTCGGCGGAACCGGGGGACGGGGTCCGGACCCCCCACTTTTATATAATGTCATAATGAAATGTCTATGCAGAAATTTTGTATGATCGGAAAGAAATCCAAGAAAAGAAAGAGTGGGCCCTTGTACACGCTTAATAACTTTTATTTATTTATTCTATTATAGTTTATTTTACCTAGTTATCCAGGGCCCCCTACCGGACCTGGGCCCGGTAGTGCCCGGGTAGCCCCGGCATAGATGTGTATAAGAGACAGGAGTGGAGGAATCCCCGCTCTTGTAAGAATGCTTAATGAACATTAATAATTAGGTATATTCATTAAGCATTCTTACAACTGAATTAATTAATAAGAATAATGATAAATTTTGGCAATTGAATTAAATTTAATTGATTCAGATCATGGTTTAATTGAGCTTAGCATAATAATAATTCTACTTTTTTATTGCTGTATTTAATTGTTTTCTTTTAATTTGTGTGCCTTTATGATGTTCAAAATTATTTTTTTTATAATTATCTGTAATAGATTTTGTATGTAAATACAGTGATGTTAGCCCTTGGGCTTTTTAACTGTATGATGTATTTGCAATAAAAGACATATTAAAAATAATGCATTTTTTGGTATCTATGGAAAAACACATTTCTGGAGGGGGATTCCCTTCGAACTCCCTAGGGAGAGGGGTTTTTAGATCAAAAGCCTCACGCCTGAAAATTTCATCAACCATCATCATAGGTAAAATACTGTATGTAGTAAATTGGGCTGAGGATGCATTTCAAATTATATAGCCTAGGCCTAAGCCTAGCAAGCTATGTACTTGACTGGAATGGGCGGATATCACTAATCATGAGCATATCCATGGAAAATATTTTGAAGGACGAACATATACGCTACGGACAAGCGAAGGACGACACTCAGCTGGGAGAGCGAGAGGCGAGGCCAACAATGAGGACTAGGCTAGGCCTAGCTTATTCTAGGCAGGTCTCCTACCTTCTAGGCATAGGCTTAGCTGAGTAGAGTAGGCC